TATCTCTTTAGAGTACTCAATGAAAAGAAATAGATAAAATACAAAGTGGAGAGAATAAAACCCGATTAATCTTCAAACAGGACTATTAACTTAACTCATTTCTACCTAGATCTATCAAACTATGTCACTCGCTACCAATACACTGTAAAATAAATGATGCAAGCCTTTCCAAATTTAAGGAAGTTGTGACCACCCACCTTAAAATCTTTTTAATTTGAAATTGAATAAATTTTGATATGTTTTTTCTTTTCATTATTGTTTTTTGCTCGTCAATTTGAATGTTAATCATGTTTGTATTGTATGTAAATTGTATGGAGAGGGAATATCAATTGGGACGAAAGTTCTGTTTTCTTCGCCAGTCACAAAATTTGTATGTCTCAAGTTTTATAAAATGTATATGTTTATATTGTGACAAATAAACTAAACTAAACTAGACTTGAAGTATGGCACTACTGCAAGAGAGAGACCTCAGGTTTTCATCTTAGTAACATAGCAACAACCGTGCATCATTTACACATTCAAGGTCAAAGTCTGCTGTCCATTCAGTTGTTGATACAAACGTTTGATCCAAAGAGCAAACACGCACTGAGTCATTGTTATCGTAACCATGCCCGTTTGTGGCCAGTTAGGCCGTCATGCTAGAAAAACTGATGTGCTTAAAACATATTTTCAAAACTGGTCTTTACTACAGATTTTTGTAAAAAAAACAACAAAAAAACCGCGCCATCAAAATGGTTTTATTGCTCGTCCTGCTACTGACGTGTTTATTTGATGGCTACTAACGTCGTTGCCTGTCAATCATAATCAACTACTGGGGTGGATTTTGAACCGTCTTTGCTTGGCCTTGTTATGGTGCAGATATAAAARGCGGTATAAGGAGGTAATGAGGTAAACACTCACTCACTTTGGAACAATCAACCATGAATACCACTTTACTGGTGTTGTGTTGCTTGTTGACTATAGTATCCAGTATTTCAAGTAAGTAAGCAGAGCAGTTTCCTTTTTGTTCAGCTTTCAACCAAAATCTTTCTGAATGACACAAACTTGTTCACTCGGTAGATTTTTGATGCGTTTTTCGAACCAAAAGAGAATAATTTGGACTAAAATTAACGTTGTGCACCTATACACGTTATTGCAGCCATTACCTTATTTCTGGGACATTYTCTGTTCTTTTTTCGATTTTCTCCAAGTTGTCATTGCGTAGCAGATTTGCTCAAAGGAAGGCAGGGATGTGATAAGCTTGATAACTTAGTCCAATTACTTTTAACGGCCAATATCTTAATAATACAAAAGACGTGGAGTATTTATCACTCTGTTTAAACTATGTTGAGGGGAAGGGAGAGTTGGGACTA